CTCGTCCCCGCCCGCCCCCGCCAGCGCCAGCGCGGTGCGGCTGCAGAGCGCCGGGCTGCCCCCGTCGCGGGCCATCACCGTCACGTTGTGCTCGGACGCCCGCTCCCGGTCCAGCGCGCTCGCCGTCACCACCTTGTAGGAGCTGCCCGGCGACGCCACCATCGCGAACGGCGTCTCGCCCTCCAGCTCGCACCACACCTTCCCGTTCTCGCCGGAGTCCCGGTCCCGCACCTTGAGGAGCGCGACGACCGTGCCGGGCGGGGAGTCCTCGGGCACCGGGCTCGACACCGACAACGTCGTTATCTCGGGCGCGTTGTCGTTCTCGTCGGTGATCTCTACGCGGACTTGGCAGTGACCGCTGAGCCCGCCCCCGTCCCTCGCTTCCACTCCGAAGGTGTACTCCTGCCTCTCCTCAAAATCCAGAATCCCTTCGCTCCGGATGTCGCCGCTGTCGCTGCCGATGCTGAAGACAGCGCGGACCGCCGCCGGCACGTTGCTGAAGGAGTAGGAGACGCGGCCGTTGGAGCCCGCATCCGCGTCCGTGGCGCGGACCCGCAGCACCAGCGACCCCGCCGGCAGATTCTCCCTCACTCGCGCCTCGTACGCGCTTTTGCTGAACACGGGCGCGTTGTCATTGGCGTCGGTCACGTTCACGCGAATCTGCACCGTCCCCGACCTCGCTGGAGCCCCGCCGTCCACCGCCGTCAGCACCATCTGAAAGGAGCTCTGCTTCTCACGGTCCAAAGCGGCTGCTAACACCAGTTCGGGCTGCTTCTTGCCACTGGCGCTCTCCTTCACTGCCAGCGTGAAGGACGGGGTTTCAGTCAGCTGGTAACTCAGCAGCGAGTTGCTTCCCACATCCGCATCTTGCGCCATCTCCAGCGGAAAGCGCGCACCAGGAACAGTCCATTCACCGATCTCCAGATCGAGAGCAGCCTTGCTGAAGACCGGGGAGTTGTCATTGATGTCCTGGATGGCCACGTCGACGTGGAAAACGTTGAGCGGGTTCTGCACCACCGCCTCGAAACTGACCGAGCAGGACGCGGAGTCGCCGCACATCTCCTCGCGGTCCAGCCTCTCGCTCACGTACAGGTTCCCGTTCTCCGCGCTCACGGCGAAGTAGGGCTTCTCCGAGCTGATGCGCAGCTTGCGCGCCGGCAGGTCGGCCGGGCTCAGCCCCAGGTCCCGCGCCAGCGGCCCCACCAGGGAGCCGCTGCCCGTTTCCTCGGGAATCGCGTAGCGCAGCCGCTCCGGCGCCGCCCGGCAGCCCAGCGGCAGCAGCCCAGAGCACAGCAGCACC